CATTCTTTCTTTCTAACTATTACTGAATTTGTGATGGAAATAGGTGAGAGTTTGGGATGTTACTGCATCATCAACTGCCCGTTCGTCTTGTTGCGTCGGATTAACTTCTCTTTCTGGTGTTCCCGTAAACATCAAGTGCCATGAATCATTGCTCTATGTTGGTACGAGTTCCTCTGTTGTCGCAATTGATTTAAGGACTATGCAGAAAGCTTTCACTGCTGCAGCTTATCAACCGTTTTTATACTCATTCGAGATGGTTCCCTCTAAATCCTTGATATGCACTGGTGGTCGTGGCAGGTATGATCAAATGGATCTTTCAGTTCATTGATATAAAAAAAATGCCTATATTTATCTTATTTAGAATTCACCAAACACAGCCTACCTGATATTAATATGAAATGTATAGCTTTTATCCTAAGTTGATCTAGGTTTGTTTCATTTTGGTATGTGAACTTGTGTCATTTTAATCCTTAAAGTTTTTGAAAAGTAACCATTTTGGAGTTTACCTGTGAATTGTTTGTATGAGATGGTATGACTTTTAATATGTGTATACCGTACTAACGTGGGCATGAATTGAAGCCATATAGGCTAGTTGAGGTGGGTATCAAGTGAAGTGGAAATTGAATGTTGAATAATGGTAAAACCAAAGTGGTTACTTCTTTTCAGTTTACGGACCAAAATAAACATTTTGAAAGTTCGAGGACTAAAATGGAATAATCATTTGAAAATTCAAGGATCGAAATAAAATAAATATGAAATTTTAGAGACCGAATTAGAGCTGAAAATACATGTGTTTTCTTTTCTTTTCTTTCTTGCAGTGCAATGCTTTGGGATGTAAGAAGAAACCAGGATGGACATAAACCTGTACCAATTGCTGAATTGGAGGGGCACAGAGGACCAGTAAGTTTCCTACACATGGATCCATACAAAATAGTTACAGGAGGTCCAGGTGATATTTACGTAAACATCTGGGAGGTGGATTCTGGTACACAAGCAAATTCTTTGAGTTGCTGGTTCAATGAAGATGCGGGCAGCAGCACGACGTTGTCCTCTTTTGCTGTTAATGGGTGTAGAATTTTCACTGCTTGCTATGATGAAGATCTCGGACTTCTGCGCTGCCGAGACTACACCAGTGCTTCTCGTCCTATCRTCGAACACGGAGAGGTTCTCTCCAGATTTTGGGATCCGGAATGCTACAGCGACAGCAATAATTCAGATCTTTAATAATAGATCATCTGTAAGCTGTAAACAGTTTCACTAAGTTTTTAACTTTTCAAGTAGCTTTTGAAGGAGTAGGAGTTCCGTGTTGTGCATTATTGTAGTCTTCTAGTGGGATATACAACTTTTGGAAGTGAAAAGTGATTTGAGATAGCAAGCTCTGATAGCCGAAAGGAAATATGGGAAATAGTGAAAAAGCTTTCCAGTTTGCAAAGAAGTTACAATTGTTCAAGCTTGAGAAAGCCATTTTCTTGAAGTTTGTTTGTGGCTTAGTGTCAATATTCTGGTAGTGCTTTCCCCAGGTCCGAGCCTTGGGGGTACGGGTGCCCTTTGAGTATAGGGGAGCAAAGTAACTTCTGAGTTATCCAAAAATATTTTGGCAATGTTTTTGAAAGTTTTGTGATATACTTGCTGATATTAGAGCATCTCAGACTATAGCTCGTATATGTTTTAGACTTTTAGTCTCTAATATTTGGGTTTTTTTTTTTAAAAAAAAAAGGTTTAGTCTCTATGGTTTAAAAAAATTTAATTCAGTCCCTTGTGTTAAACTTTTTTAATTAAATCCTTCCTGTCTATGTATGTTACAAGTTTGTTGATGAGGAACTATTGTTACATAATACTTCAGGTTCCATTTACTAGAAATTTTATGGAATAACTAAAGCTGTTTATTGCTAATCTTTTTTTAATTAAAATAATAATAAATTTTAATTTATTACTATTTTTTATAGTAAATATTCTTTTATTATAACAATCTATTTAATATTAATAAATAATAAATATTTAAAATATAATTACATTAAGTAAAATAATTTTTTTATTAGAATAACCATCATTTAGTATGTATATAGTGTGGATTTAAACTTAATATTTTAATTGGAGAGATAAAAGTCTTAGCCAGTTGAGCTAAACGTGACTAATTGACTTTTATGTGCTTTTTCTATCAATTAGATCATTTATTTATGGAATAAACTATCCAAGCATACCTATTTCTTCATATTTCAACTTCTATAAATAGAAATTTATTTTATTTTAGAAATAGAAATTTGTATTATTCTAAAATAAAATGTATCAGCTAATAAAAGTTTATTTTATTTTAGAAATAGAAATTTGTATTATTCTAAAATAAAATGTATCAACTAATAAAAGTTGTATAAATTTTGATTAGAAGAAAAATACTAGTAGTATAAATAAAAATGAAACAATAAAAATATAAAATAAATAATTAAAAAGTGATGCATATTATTAATAGATGAGAGAAAAATAGTAATTATAAATGTGTGGGGTCACGTAATAAAAAATTGAGATTAATGGTSTGTTTGATAACCATTTTTTGTTTTTTGTTTTTAAAAAGAGATAATATATTGGGAGGTCTATTTTTAAATCTTAATTTTATAAATGTCTTTAGTTTTCCAAATTTACACTTTTTAGATATTTTCATGTAGGATTTTATGTTAATATCGTTTCTATCCTTATTTATTGCTTTTTATTTTATTATAATTTTAAAATTTAAAAGATTTGAATCCTTAATTTGTTATTATATTYCTTTAATCATTGTGGGACCCGTTCAATTTTTCAACCTAAATTCCTCAAATCCCTCCTTCAAAAAAGATTTTATCCTCTCACCAATTAATAACTTCCAAATTTGTGAAATTACGTTTTGAATTAATCAGATCCGTTTGCTGCCGTCTRCTTTCGTCTCCAACCTTCCTTTTTTTTTCGTCGTCTTCCTTTCTTTCATGCCGACCGTCATCAACGAGGATAGGAGACGTGCAGACTGTCTGTGTTCTTCTTCAGGGCTTCCATCAACGAGCGATTTTTTCCTTCTTCTTTTCGTCGAGATCTTCTTATTACCATCGCTGAATAGACTTCCCGTCGACCTCGTTGCACGTTTCCAATGCCGTGCAGCGTGCTTCCGTCAATGAGGTATTTATTCCTTCAATTTCTGTCGCCGAATAAACTTTTCGTCGACGTCTTTGCACGTTTCCGATGCCGTTCAGCACATTCCTCGTCTCCTGTCCCATTCTGTTTTTACCATTGGTAATTATTAGTCTTCCATTAAGATTGGTATATATGGGGATATATTTTATGTATGTGTATAGAAAATTGAAGTTCTAAACGTCTCATAGTCTTAGTATTCCTGATTATATTCGTATATATGGGTATTATTGTATATGTGAATATATCTTATATGTGTATATATCTTATATATATAAGATATATATACACATATATCTTATAGTTCTGTAGAAATGGTCCTCCATACCATTAGTAATTATTAGTCTTCCGTTAAGATTGATATATACGAGGATATATTTTGTGTATGTGTATAGAAAATTGAAGTTCTAAATGTCTCATAGTCTTAGTATTCTTGATTATATTCGTATAGATGGGTATATATCTTATATGTGTATATATCTTATATATAGTATAAGATATATACACATATACCTTATAGTTCTGTAGATAGGGTCTTCCAAAATTAAAGTCATAAACGTCTCATGGTCTGGACMATTGTTATTTTTGGATTTTGGGGGATTTCTGAAGGTTTTCAAATTTTGAGGGATTTCGAGATATTGTTTCAAATCTTTGTCATTACAAAAGCCTCTATAAAATGGATGCTTCATTTTTTTTTTTCTTTTTCTTTCTTTTGGTAGATTTTTAGACGGGATTTGGGGATATTTTGGGAGGCTTTCAAATTTGGGGAATTTAGGGTTTTCTTTTTAATGTTTTGGTGTTTTAATTTGTTTTGGAAAGTATCATTAACCTAAAATTATGGGATCCTAATTATAACCTTCGAATTAATCAATTCTGCATTTTAAAATGAATCTAAAATTAATTTGTAGATACGAGGGTATTTAAGTAATTTATGTGATGGGTACCCTCTTAAATAAGGTTGATACATGACAAATGTGTAAATTCTATACATTCCATCCTTTTATGTAATTAGGATCTTTAAATAGCCCATCAATGTACTAATCTCCTTTTAAAAAACAAAAAACCAAAACATGTTTGGTAACCATTTTTAGTTTTTTGTTTTTAAAAAGTTAGAAAATTGAAAATACATATTAGAGAGAGAAAATTTGATGTAGAATAGAGATGACAATCGTGTGGGTGCGAGTGAGGATGCTTTCCCTCATTCTCGTGGTCGTGAAAATTTTCAGTCTCCGTCTCCACCTCGTTTTTGGGTCCGAGATGTTCTCGAGAAAAATTATCGGTTTTATTATTGTTTTTAATTATTTTTAGAATTTAAGTATAAAAAAGTGTAATAAACATATATTAATTATTTAAAAAATAGAATTGGGGACGAGGTCGGGCTACGCATTTCCTATTTTTTGGGACCCGAYCCTGCGGAAATTTTTGTCACCCCCTAATGTAGAGACATGAAAATACAAGTTTAGATAAATGTAAATAAACTTTTGGAAAATAAATTTTAGAGATAAATAAAAAGATTTAGAAAAAAATAGTGAAAGAAAAGTTAAAGACAAAAAGAGAAAAATTTTAGAGAAAAAAAGTAAAGTCGGGAGGAAAAGATATGTTAAAGAAAAAAAAATTATAAAGAAAGAGAAAAATTATAGTGGAAACAAATTTAAAGATAAAAACAAGATTCAAAATATAATTTTTAGAGAGAATAAATAAATACAAAGATAAATAAAAGTTACAGTGAAAGAAAATTGAAGRAGAAAATAAAATATAATTTTCAGAAGAAAAAATAGATTACGAACCGAAAGAAAAGTTATAAAAGATGAAACTTTAGAGAGAAAAAAAGTTAGGAAAAATATTAAATTTTTAGAGGGAGAAATGAAACTGGTCGGTTAGGAAAAAAACAAAAATACAAAAAATTTTGGAGAAAGACAAATAATAATAAATATTCAAAATATGAAAATTTGAAGAGAGAAAAATAAAATTTGTAGAGAGAAATTTAGAAATAAAAAAAAATTTAGAGTGAGAAATAAATTTTCCAGAGATAAATATGAGAAAGAAAAGAAAAAGAGTATTAGAAGAAGAAATCAGATTTTGAAAAACAAAAACTTGTTTTTGAAAACTACTTTTTTTTTTTGTTTTTGAAATTTACATAGAATTTCAAAATGGTTTTTGAAAACAAGAAACAGAAAATTGAATTGGTTATCAAACAACCCTATTTTTAAAAAATTAAAAACCAAAAATAAAAAACAAAAAACGAAATGGTTATCAAACGAGCCCTAAGGTTTTAGGTAAGTGACTATAAAGTTTGAGATGAGTCCTACTAATCGATTCCATTCCTATCCTTTATTAAACACTATTAAAGATAATGAAAATTTTTATTCTCATTAATTGATTATAAAACTTGGGCTTAAAATCTTTTTTTTGTTTTAGTACAATATAGTGGGGAGGGGATTCCAACTCACAACCTTTTGGTTTAAGATATATGTCAATTATGACTGAGTTATTGGTATGRCTTAAAATCTTTTAAAATAAATACTAATAAAACCTCAATAATATATTTATCTCTAACAAATCTCTCTCCTTTTTTTAAAACTGAAAACAAATTATCTTTTAAACTTAYTAAAATAAAATAACTTCTGAAACAAAAAGGTCTATCTTTRAAGGAAAAAAAAAGGTTTTACAAGGTTAAGATGCTATCTTAGTTCAATGCAATCACATTTGGTTAATTGTAGTCTACTTTAAAAACGTTCATTTTGATCTCTTGTACTTCGTTTTGATCCTCGTACTTTTAAAAGGTGACCACTTYTGTTTCTATTTGTAAAAATTTTCACACAAATTCTATACATAAAATAAACCCTTTAATATGAAGTCATGTTTATTTTTTAAGAAATATATAGAGTGTATTGTCGTGTTGAAATTGTGATTAAAAAAATTAAAATTAAAAAAGGGGACCAAAATTGTCACTTTTTAGAAGCACAGAGACCAAAACGAACATTTTTAAATAGATAATATCTTGGATGGACTGTTTTGGAAACTTATTTTCACAAATGTCCAATTTTACAAATTTTACAATTTTAGATTTCTGGATTTAAAACTTTTTCTAAATACCAAAATTGCCCTTATATATGGTATTTATATTTATTATAATTAGTTTTTTTTTTATCTAAACGCAAAAGATTAATGTTCCAAATTTTATTTTGTTAAATTATTGTGGAACTCAAATCAATTATTCTCATAATCAGCTAATTTACTCCTTAATATATTCTACTAAAGAATGAAATTTACGACAAAATA